CAAGCCAGGCTTTATGATGATGCTGAAATGCACCATGTGAACAATAGACTTCACTGAATCTCATCCTGGATATAAGTTACAGATACTTTGACTTTTCCCTTAATTGTGCTGATATCCACACTCAGTGATTTAATTTCATATCACTTACATGGTTTTTTTTCTGCAGTTCTGAGATGAAAAGAAATAATCATCTCTCACCACACTTAAAAACCTGGATTTCTGCCAGTTTCCTTACAAGAGCTACAATTTGTGCCAATTCAGTCATTTTTAATTACAGATTATTTATTTTTCTGCTCATACTACTTTTAAAAACACAGTTCAAACAGACACAGTTACAAATTCTCCTTTTTCTAGTCCAAGATCCATTCTTATTAAAATCCTGTTAAGATCCACAGACACATTTGCATTTCTTCCCGGTGTTCCAAACTCCTTTACATAAAAATTGCAAGTAAATTTCATCATCAAACACAGCATTACATTGGGTCCTATATTTAAGTAAATGACAGTCTACTTTCTACTACTGAAGGCAGACAGAAATGAACTTTAGCAATGATTTAGTAATTTTAGGGAGAGACGAAATTCTGAGGTTATTCGAGTCCTAATTCTGCATTTTGCCAACAAAATTCTTCTTGCTGCTGCTCAGCACACACCTTGGAGCTCTTTGTAACAGTCTCTCTGAAGAGCCAGAGCTCATTTTCTGATGCAGTGACTACCGTGAACTCTCAGGATGAGTATTTTAAAACCCAAGAATGAATTAAAAGCTGTAGTTGCAAGGTTTTCTCTGTAAGTCTCAGAAGAACTCTCTCCATCTGAAAAGCAATTTTCAGGATGAAGTCAGGGGACGCTGTTATTTGTAAGTGAGAAAGGGACAAACATTTGAGGCCAAGTGTTAGAACAAGGTACTTCCAAGAAGGAGACTGCAAACTGGCAGATGGGACCGTGCACTATTAACTGGTAGCAGTTCAGCACCAGGTTATTAAGTCTTGAGTATTAAAACCTCCTCTATTTGCAGTCTCAGTTCTTGCCCTAGGGAGTTGGTGAGCACATCTTGATCCAACTGGTATTTATATTACACTGGTTCAGGAAACCTGCAGGGACACTGACCACACACTGCTGACCCGAGAACAAAACGTTTAAAACAAATCTGGAGAAGGGAGATGACAAACACACAACTTCCTAAACTTACTGAACTGCGTTAAAACCTCGCGGTAAGTAAAACACATTTGAGTTGCATAGAAATGAGACTGTTTTAGCTGGACTTCACTGAATTAAGAACATGAGAAAACGTCAGGAATTCCTGATGTTATTTTTAACAAGCAAAAGCCAAAGTGCAGGAGGGGGAGGAGCACATACCCACGCTATGGGAGGGAGAGAACAATCCCTAGCACAGAACATCCCACAGCACAGCTACACCTACGGGCCCCCGGCGCCAGCGCTTCAGTCTATTTCCAGATCACTGTCTTCACTGTAGCATGCAGATGGATTATGTATAGAAGTCAGGAGCAGTAAGTCTTTTTCTGGCAGCAAACCACACTCCTGCAGAAAAGCCTCCAGGTCTACAGCGAAAAAATCTTCCCCGAGCTGGTCGGTGATGCGCACGAAATTGCCGATGAGCTCCCCGGCCTTATAGACCAGCAGGGCTGGCAGGGCATTGTTGGTGAAGCGGGTGCTGGCCCCGATGAGGGAACTCTTCACCCTGCAGAATTTAACTGTGGGGTACTCGGAAGCCAGGCAGACCATGCAGCCGTTCAGGGACTCGGTGCCAGGGATGTCATCTTCATAAATATGGATCATGATCAGGGTGCTCTTGTGCTCTTTGTCAACCGTGTCCAGAAATGCTTCTCCGCTGGTGATCTCAAAGACCTGTTTGAACTGCTGCCCACTGTACAGCTGCTGCCTCATCTCCTCCATCCTCTGCTTCCTGTAGCGCTGCAGGAATTCCTCGTCGTCCTCATCATTGTGGATCATGTTATACTCCTGTAAAGTCATCTGAAAACACACACAGAGGTCCGTGAAAACGATCTGCACCACGATGTGGGTCACTTACGTAATGAGAATGCAAATCAAGAGGATTAATGTGGGTCACTCATCTTTAATAACAGCAAACTGCAACCCACGTAAGGCTCAAGCACCCTCTGTATTACACTCCATTCTGATCTAATTAGAAACCACGTCCACTGGGAACAGCGATTTCAGCCCAGGGCATTCCAGTTTCCACAAGCTGCACTAACAGCACAAGTGGCTGCTCTGTGCTCCCACTTTAATCCAGGTTAATGGTGGCCAGGTGCTTTCACCGAGCTGGGAGCGCTCATCTGGGAACTGTGCCTGACCTAAGAGGAGCTTCTGCCTCATTTAGCTTTCCAGTTAACATGTGGTGGCACCGCCCTGTCTTCAGAACTGTAGTGAACAGGATTTGATGTATTTCAGTCTGTTCATCTGCATCACTCAAGGTACAGGAGAGCACAGCCAACCTGCATCATCTGACAGCAGAAACACTGTCTGCTAACTCCTAACTTCTCTGACTAAAACTCAGGGCTAGTTTACAGCCCAGCTGACTAAAACCATTCTCCACCTCCAATGCCTTCGATCTTTGGAGCTCAAAGTTAAATTCCCAACATCCACTTACTAGATATGGAATCAGTGAGGGCTCCTAAGCTCTTGCTTCAGGCAGGGGAGGCAGCAATCACAGGTTTGCTGCACAACTCTCCATACTAAGGAACTTGACTCATTTGATCAACAGACCAGGGAAATCTGGGGAAAGGGTTTGGACTTCTTTGGCACTGCAGCTAAATCCCTTATTTGTTAACACAGGCAAACAAAAATTAGACATTTAAGTGGCACTTTAATTCCCCTGTGCCATGCTACCTTTCCATTGATTTTTTCCTGGAGCTCCTTCTGCTTCTGCTTATCAGCCTCATCATCTAAGTGAGACCTGCAGGTCATGGACAGCTTCTTGATGAGCCGCTCCATCTCCCGGCGCTGCTCCTGCCGCTGCTCCGTCTCCAGCTGCTTAAACCTCCGCCAGTCGTTGATGACTCCCTTGGGACCTGAGATTAAATGTGTGGGCACTTCGTATAAAAGGGTAACACAACTGTATTTACCAGTTAAAATCAAGTAATAACTTATAAATCGGCAGTAAAACAGTGGCCCCATCACAAACTTTTTGTAACTGTGCAGAACACTGAAATGAAAGAAGTGATCTGCCATTTGTATGTCCTTGAGTTTGTAACTAATTTTTTTGATAACAAGACTAAAGTTTATCTAACTAGGCTATTCTTATAACTGTCCCACAGATTAGTATCTGTACTCTTGAAATAGAACCACCAGCCCTCAAGACTTCCCCTGTTGTTAATATGGCTTTCATCAGAACAAAAATAATGATTTATTATCAACCAAATTGTACAAATCAGCCTTGTATCAGCTTTCTATCCCAAGCCTGATTGCTTCAGATGCAATGCTGAATTATCTCAGAGAAGTCAAACATTAAAATCAAGAACCAGCTATTAAAAATAACGTTAGACAACAGTCAGGAAATGATCACTCTCTAACCCAAATGTGCAGAACACCAAGAGTTTCATTTCAAAAAATGAATTTCAGAATAACGTATGAAACTTCCAACAAACAAAGCATTTACAGAACAAGTCCATTGATATGATACCTGTGTTGACGGTGCTACCATCGCTGCTGAGCTCGACCTCTCCCACACTTTCAGGAATGTTGCTCTCCCCTTCTTTATCTTCCTTCTCACTGTCCTCATCCTCACCCTCACTGCTGCTATAATAGTACTGGAGCTTCTCACCAAGCAGTTTATCATCTGCAGTAGTCATTATGTCCTAAAAAATAAATTAACAAACCAGAGGAAGCACCTCTGATCAAACACGCAGTGTGAGATACCACCTTAAAATGCGTCACGATGATCCTTCCCATCCTCAGGGCAGTTTTTAGCCCCAGAAGAACAGTTCCCAGCCCACCACCAAACAGCCCTTGGTGCAGTCAGTCACTTGGGTTAATTCTTAAGTCACAATTTCAAACTCACTTAAATCAAAACCTTTCCAAACAGACCCGCTCTGAGGCTCACTAGTGAAAACACCTGAGGTGTGTTCTCACTCATGGAGAGTTAATTTCCTAACCGTGATTCAGGAGCCTTGCGAGCCTCACTGGACAGCTCCACCAGCCCGATTCCCAGCTACCGACATTTAAATGCCCGCTATTATTTGCATTACTTTAACAATTATTTACGCGAGCTGAAAAACTACCAGTGTAATCAAGCAAACTGAAATGCTCTGACCTGTATTCCCTTGCAGCCCTTCGGAGACAAATTCCTACCGAGACCTGGGAAGGAGAAATATTAACCCGATCAGGGTTTTTCTCTGCAGGGCGATCCCTCAGCCCTGCTGGCCGTGCCAGCCACGGACACAGCAGAGCTCCCGCTGTTGCTGCCGAGCGCTGCGGGAGTCAAACCCGGCTCCGGCCGCTCCCAGCGGGCAGATGGCCCGGGATTACCGGGATTACCGCATGGCCCCGCACAGGGGTCGGGGCTGGGGCCGGTGACACCGCGGGCCCCGAGCGAACCGGCCCCGCCGCCCCCGGGGCCACCCCGGTTGAGCCCCCCCCGCTCCTCCCGGGACCCCCGGGCCGGGTCCGGCCCCGCCATCGCCTCACCCGCTCCCGCCGCCTTCCGGGGCCGCCGCGCGGGGCACGGCGGGAACGGGGCGGGCACGGGGAGGGAACGGCCCCGCTGGACCCGCCCCGGGAACGGGAACGGCCCCGGGAAAGGGCCCGCTGGACCCCGACCCGGGAACGGGAACGGCCCCAGGAACCGCAACAGGAACGGTCCTGGGAAAGGCCTCGCTGGACCCACCCCGGTACCGGAACGCCCCCGGCCCCAGCCGGACCCCTCTCGGTACCGCTGCCCCGCCCCGGTCCCAGCCGGACCAGAACGCCCCCCCCTCTGACCCCCTAGTCCCTCCCCAGCCCCGGTTGAAGACAAAAGAGCCCGGTTAAGGTGGACAAATAATTTTTATTCGTGCATGCAAATACATGTCAATACTGCAAACTTCTTCCATCGAGTCTCTCAAACACCGAACCGGGATGCTCTATCCGTGCCCAGCCAAAGCTACAACCTCTGCACGTCAGTGCTACAGCGACACACGGGCCCCGCCGGGGCTCCCCTACTCTAACACGAAGGGAAACATTACCAGTGGGAATCAAAACCGAAATAAACGGAATAGAATTTACTCCCCCATATATCCCCATTTCATTTTACAGATTTTTTTTTTCTTTAAATTATAGTTTTAAATAGAAGCTGAGAATGCGCCATAAAAATGAGCATTAAATCCATCGTAGCGATGGTGCCTGCTTTATACATGATGGGTGTACACCATCTTTTATTTCATTTACATTTCAATCGAACAATAGATTTGCAAAGAAAATGTCTAATACAGACGTAAAAATATTCACACTAGAGCTTCACAATCGGTTGTACAATTGACAAACAGGCCTCTTTTCCCAAACTTTCCAGCTAAGCAAATTTATAAAATGTAATCAATGCAACAAGAAAAAAAAAATTTTCTTTAAAACTTCCAGGGAAAAGAATACGCAGTAAACAGTATCAATGCGACAGCAGATGCTGCAAGCTAACCACAATACTCTGGAGTGGCTGTACAGTGGGTATGTGCAGTACAAATCAAAGCCACGTGTGTTGTATCACAACTACTGTATAATGTACTTGTTTGCCCAGCTAAGAAAACGCATGCATTCCCATGCCTTGGGTAACGGAGATCTACTCTGGAGAAATCCAGGGGCTATGTGCAAATGACCTTGGCTTTTGGCAGTAAGAAACGCAGCCAGGCTCTGCTTTAGTTCAGCTTTTACAGCAAAGTCTCGAGTGATTAAAAGCTTCCACAAGCATCCGTAAATAACGGGGTGTAGGATTACGTTTGGGCATTGGGCACTTTGATTATGCAGATTTGTTTCATCTCATCACTGACGGTTTTGGGTGTTTTCTTTCCCCTTGTCCTGCTCCCTTGCCAGCAAAGAGATGCACGGGGATGATTTACTGCCAAAGTCAGCTGTTCATTTATACCGGGAAATCGGGTCATTTAAAAAAGCACATTTATTGGGTTCTGCTTGCAGAAGAGGTCCCTCAGTGAGAGGGAACTTCCTAATAAAGGGATTAAACTACAACATAAAAATGGACTTTTACATCCTACAGATCATCTGATCATTTCTCATTTTGTTACACTCTCAAATTCAACACCTTCCTTTAATAACAGTCTAATAATGAATGAAAAGTCTGTTCACAAATATGATCAAGGAGCTGCTGGCATACAGTGTTTATGTACAGCAACAGGTACAACTTGACAACTTGTGCTTTAAAAAAGCAAACAAAACCGATGTCTGGAACTACTCTGAGTTTAGATTGAGTTATTTGAAGCGTTCTTTCCTCAGCTGTTTCTGACCACTGTGCATTATTTTGTACCTCATCCAGCCTAGTACACTAATATACAAGAACAGCATTCAGCTCTTGAGTACAGGAGAAATTAAAATTTCAATTGAGTTATCAAAGCACTAAAACCTTCCAAATTAGACTTCTACAGAGAGCTTAATTAAGAGCTTATTTAACATAATCAGCTGTGTACAACTTCTTTTTTCCTAAATCAAATGCCAAACTTCAGTGTCCCTGTACTAGACTACCAAGAACCAACGCCAGTTTGCTTTGCAAAGAGTCTAACCTTGCCTTTGAAGGGTCTAGTATACATTCTACAATGCAAAATCTGCATAAACACTAAGATTCATTTCTTGTCACCTGTTTACAGGAACAAAATATCAGTAGCAGGGCAATCACTCTGCTATAAGAATATGTTAAGAATGTACAGATAATCACTTTCTCACACAAGCATTCTCCCAGCACAAGCATTAGTCTCTATTAAGACCTATGTGGGAAATGAGGCAAACCAAGGAATGAATCCAGGTAGTGAGGCAACACAATTAACTTAGATACTAATAATTCCTGTCTCTCTTGCATGTGAAATCCCTGCTGTACCCCTAATGGGGAAAAAAAAAAAATTAAACCAAACCAAACCAACCCAAAATGCTTGTCCAAGCAAAGCAAAAGAGCCAATCTCTCTCCCCGATCTGCTACGGGCCTTCTTTTCTGACAGCACAGGTAAAAGTCAGGCCAAAACCTAAATGGGCATCACTGCTATTAACACACACAGGTAAGTCACTCTATCTCAGTGTCAGAAAATAAGCCCTTCCATAGCCCAAAGGCACCTGATTTACAACTAACAACATGAATACATACTTGTTTGTAAAGGGTCAAGGGCTGAAACTGCAACAAAGAAGGAAGCCAGAGCCAGGTGTTCCCACCCGTGGCTTCTTCTCCCCGTCAGGGCACTGGAGGGCATCAGTTCCATGGCAAAAACCACACAGTCACCGTTAAAACCTTAAGACAAAGCTGGCATGCTGTTAAACCCCCTAATAATTCTTTTGCCTGTCCTTCTACAGGTTAAAAACTCAACTAAAAAACCCCAGCCTCAGTTCAGAACCAACTTTCCACCTGAAGTGTATGGTCACCCTAGAGAACTGCTCTATCACGGGACCTCCTGCTGCAGACAAGAGTCTAGAGATACATTTGATCTTAAATGTGCCAAAAAGTTGGCAGGAATATGTCAGGCTTATGTCATTTCACTGGACAAACAGGCAAATGTGTGTAAGCAGCTTATCCCAACCCCCTCCAGCAGAGCACAACCAAGTTTTTAAAATTGCAATTTTAAAATTAAAAAGTTAAAGGTAAATACACAATCAATTTATGTAGTATATATTCACCCTCAGATCATGCTGAAGATGTTCTGTGGAGTTCTGGTGCACAGAGGGCTCTTTCCCTGAGGGCAAATAAGGACTTCTCAAACCTTTATATTTTCTCTATTTTTGTAACAAAATAGCAATTTAAAATTTAAAAATCTTTTAAAAAAATTACATCACCTTCAACATGGAAGATCTCACTGTTTAAATATCCATGAAAGAGACATACTTGTTTGCATATCTGTTTTGGAATTACATTGTACAGCAAATAATAGTATCTCAGAAGCATTTCAAAAGTAATATAAATTCATATTTACAGAATGGTCTTGGTATAAAATATACAACAATCATATTTATGTCTAACATTCTAAGTTAAAGTTAACATCGATAGGAAATAAGTTAAGGTGGCAAAGGTGGTCTGGTTCTTGTATCCATTCACTTCACGTTGCGAGTGGAACGAAGCGTCAGTCTAACCCTACGATGAGGTGGCACTGGCTGGAGAAGGTACAGCAACAGCCAAAGGAAACTAAGAAAAGGCTACTGGACTGCTTTTCTACATACATTCCTCGACACTGGAGTACTAAAGAGATGTGTAAGATCTTCCATACTGACACCAGAATATCAAAACTAACCCTTGGATTTGCAGGTATATTTACAACATAATTAATTCATGGACAGGTTCGTTAGGAGAGATATCAAACACCAATATTTACTTAGTCTAATCAGTAACCCTCAGGGAAATGCCAACCCCCACCCCCCAGAAGCGTGCACAAAACAGTTATCAAAATCTTACCCGACCACATAGCTGTGATTTTGTAAAATAACAACTCAGACGACCAGTAACATGATCCTCTTTAAGCATTTTGCTAGCAGGAAAAGCCCTTACATGCAGTACACCTGGTGAAAGATCAGCTTGGCTTAAAATATTCCAGTACAATTTTCAGAGTAAACAACTTCACAGAAGTTAATAAAAACATAAAAAAAATGTAAAACTTGTCACAAAGAAAAGTAAGAGGACAAACAAGAAGACAGTAATCATCAGGAGGGAGAGTCCTGCTTTTAAAAAAAAAAAAAAAAATTGGATTTTTAAGCTTCTCAAAAAAATATGCCCAGGGCTCTAGTTCACGTGTATTTATGAAAACCAATTTTCAGTTGACATGTCTAACATGATTCTCAGTCACCTCTTACCAGGGCATAAATTCATAGTTTTCAGTACTCTGAAGGTCAGATAATGCTATCTTATTGTATTTTCAAGGTCTTTGAAAATAAGTTGCCACTGAATAAGCAAAAATTAAACCTGAATACAAAATTATGATTAACAACATTTCACAAAGGTAATTACAACCGCCTTAAATTCCCAATATTTAGTTTAAATTAAAAACAAAACAGTACAAAAAACAGCAATACCATCTTGTTAGTCAGTGCAAACACTAGATACAGGGTTTTCAAAGGAAAGCCAAGAGCACCTGATACTTTTTGCCAAGTCATCTGGATCCTATAATCTCCAAGTTGAGAACTATTAATGAAAAAAAGAAAAAAAATATGAAAAAAACCCAAAATTGCCGTTACATTAGTGCATAACCTCTCAAAATCGTTGCAAATTGTTTCACGTGTAGCTTGGGGAAATCAATACCTACTACATCAGCTGGAGGACTTAGGCACTTGGTTTACTTCTGATAACTTTACTTGGACAAGTAGCCTGTGTATGTGTTATCTACAGCACTAAAGCAGAAACTGGGGGGAGGAATGGAAACCAAACCCTGCAGCAAAGCACTGCACCACAGACCTGCCAACGACAGTGCAAAGCTGATGCTGTGTTAACCCTGCAAAAGCCTCAAGTCCAAATCTCCACCTCTCAGTCTTCAAACAATGCTCCATGCAAAGTTCCACAACTAAGGAAAAAGCAGCTGCAACAAGACACAAGTTCTTCTCTCGTGAAACAAAACAGAGACAAATAAGTTAGTCTTCCTTTCACTAGATGTATCATCGTAGGATCCTGCTAGTTTAAATAACTGAGTTGTTAGTTTTCTACAGAAGCCATTTTCAACAAGAATGGCTCAGATACCGCACCGGATTGCTACAAACTCATAAAAAGCTGCTTTAAGCTTAAGTAAAACAATGTCCAAATTCCATTCATTTGTGGAAAGTGAACGCCTTACCCTAGTAAAGTAAGTTTTTTTTTTTCTTCAGAATGCTAATGCGAGAGGGGCTTGAAGTATCAAAGAGTCCACAGGAAATGCATGACCCCAATATTATTTTTTTTAAAAAAAATATACATTATATAATATATATTATATATATAAAAAGCTAGTGTAAATGCTTCCATGGTGTGGTCACAAGCTGGAAAGATGAATGCCTTTCAGCTGTTAACCATCCTGCCATTTGCAACAGGCTTTAAAAAGTCATTTTTATCCTCAGACATAATGTGAGCAGTTTTCAAAATGAGGCTGCCAACACTGACTGATGTGCTGATGGGCAGGCAGCTTGCATTGCTAACAGATGTTGTGATCGGCTGACTGAAGCAAGAAGTTACGGGCAGGATTGTTTTCTGCTCCTCCCTGAGGAGAAAAATAAGTTACACAAATATTAAACAAGTACATGCACAAGTATCCGGAACTGAATTGTGTGCATTAAATAAATACTGACATCCACTCATTTTTAGCAACAGGCTAAAGATCTTACTATGGAACGGTACGCTCGAGATGTTAATGTAGTCTGCCTCAGTTTCAAAGGCTGCTTTACCCATTAAAGACTACAGAATATAGAAACCTAAAATAGTGTGTTTTAAAATCTACCTCTCCGTGGAGATTTGTGCAAACAGTCCGGCATTTAACCTTTTTGAAGTTGTCCTTAATTTCTGTTAACTATAAAAATATTTTGCATTTTTTGCTTACTGAATGTGAAAGGTATTTTGAACAGCTGTGACACGTTTCAGTGTGTACAATTACAACGATGCATACGAACAATGGTACCAGCCTGTGACTGTCGGGTTTGTGACCTAATTCTATTTCTGAACAGGTTCTTCTCACTTCACCAAGTATACACAATGCAGGTGTCTAATCCAAGTCTGAGCAGGTACGTAGTTCATCCTTAAACACTCATGCTTCCACTATTCTGATGCTGCTGTTTGTCTAATACTGGCAGACACTGCTGTTTTGTCTAACACTCACAGAATCACAAGGTCTTCACCTAAACTTTGTCTCTTCTGTTCCATAGATTCTTTCTGGTGCTGCTTTAGCAGATGCCCGTTCTCTACAGTTGTTCCGTTGAGCAGCTGATCATCTTGGGAGCTAATCCCCAGCTGTATGTCCAGAATCTCCTACAAGAGAAAAGGAGGAGCGCCCATCAATTCTGTCCCTATCAGCTTTACATTTTCATCTTATGTTCCACTACATTAAGCTGATGGAAATGAGAGTCCGGTCATAAAACTCCTTATTTTTATGTCACACTACTGGAATGCCTACCACATTTTACTAAAGGAAAAGCCAATTATTCCAAGATGGCTGTGAATGACGAGAGTAGCATAAACTGTGAGCTCATTTTAAATTCAGTAATATTAACTACCAGGTAGTTAAAAATAAGGCAAATGTTTCACGTCACTACAAAGACTAAATCCAAAAGGCTTTCCTATCAACAGAAAGGCTAATGAAAGGACCCAGTGACACACAGATTTTTGTACTCACTTCTATTTGTTCACCTTGCCCATCAGGTTCGTCTGTATCAAGGGCTGACAGCTCCAATTCAATGTCTCGATCGGGCTTTGTGTCTGCACAGTCTTCAGTATAATCAGACTGAAACAAGAATTAATACATTCTGTAAATATCAAGTTGGCTTTTCACCTGCTTCACACAACACTGGAGTGCTACAGTGAAAACAGAAGATGCATTTCTAGGACACAACATTTCTACAATACAAACAAGCTAGACACAACAGAGCTTCACCCACAGACAGCACAGGATACAAGGCTAACTGTAATCACAACAGAGTACCAAAACAGAGATAAAATGAACACTGAGGTAGAAATTTCAGTAGAGTCCATTGGCAAAATGTTTAGATCTATAACACACACAAACAGAACAAAAACTAATGACTGCATGAAAATTATTGTCTACTTCTTCCCTTTTTGTAAATGGAAGCAGAAGCACAGCAGGTGCAGCTGCCCAATCTCAGGGAAATACCCGAGTGCAACGACAGTGACTTAACTTGCACAGAACATGCTATAAACATCTGGGAGTGCTAAAACTAAGTTTTAAGTCTCAGTTAAAATTCAGGTACTTCTATATATCCAAAACCCCTCAAAGATCTGTTCATCCCAATTTCCCCTTTCTTTACCTCACCATTCCTCAAATCAATTTCCTTGCTTAAAAGATTTAAGGTAAGACGACTGCCTTCATCTAGAGAATTCCACTTCTGCTGCATGGCCAGGGCGTTGGCCTCTCTCTGGAGTAATAAGGAATTGCTTTTGGCCTGTGGAAAGAAAGGGTCCGGTTATCAGTCACTACACATAAACCACGGGCTGTCACATGGCCAAACCAGCCAGCTGACACAAACACAGTTCCCTTGCCAGATGGGTAACCTGTGTGCCCTTAATGATCTTCATTTATTTTGCTCTGCATTTGCTGACATGCATCAGGTCCATCACCTTCTCCCCGAAACGGCCTTACTGATGTCAGTGGATCAGCTCACACTAGCAGTCCTAAAGCAGGACTAGCTTCTAGTTTAACCCTAATTGATAATTTTGTCATTTGTACTATTTTCTATAGGCTACACTAAGAAAACGTATTTTAAACCACTTTACTAGACAATTTCTTTTTTAATTAAAAACCCTCATGGTATATCATCTTGTCTTACCTGCTGTAATTCAATACTCAGTAGATCTCCAGTGCTGGAATGCTTTCTGTGACCAGACAAATCTGTAACTATGAACCTGTCCCTTTAAGAGAAAGGAGGCAAAACCAGGAATTAAAAACAAGTCCTCTAAATCAAGGCCTCATAAACCTCATTAGTCCATCACTGTTAAGAGTTCTGGGCAGAAACTGTGTGACTAAGACAATGTGCTCTTCATCTTCACTGGTGCTCACAATACCCCAAGGCACTGTATGAAGCAAACATCCTTATTTTATGTACGGGTAAGATGTGGCAAGAAACTTGAAACTGCTCAGATTTTGACATGACAGCCTGGCAGTACCTGTCTCCAATACTTTTGTTAAGCCTCTCAAGGGATAATAAAGCACAATTACTAGCAATGTAACTGCATTAAGTATTGAAGACTACACAACTTTTAACCTAGTTTTTCCAAGGCTTTATGCTGGTTAGGTAAAAGGTCTTTTACTTTAAAATTAAGAATGCCTATTAATAGACATTCCAGATTCCACACACACACACTGAGGATTTTGAAGAACTGCAAGCTACAGAAAATGCTTTTAAGAGAACACAGAGAGGAGTTTGTACCGTTCTGCATAACGTGCTGATGAAGCAGAATCCGAGCCATAGGCACTCCATCTTGAGTCAACAGCATTGACATAAGGGACATAATCTGTAAAAAAATCAGGATACCATTCACTATCTTCTCTGTTCTCAAGTGGGGTGCACAGGTATTTTAGCTCCCTGCATCCTCATGGCTGCAGTAAGCACGAAGAGGAAACGCTCATGGCGTACATGAATGAGGAACTATCGTCACAAAGCCTGCACTTGTACCTGACACGCTGATGGGCTTAGTAGCACTTCCTTGGGAAGCAGTGGCCTGGATGGGATCTGTCGTGTGGTAACCCGTGCGGGATGACCTGGAGATTGCACCCCACTTGGAGATGATGGGCCCGTCGCTGAACGGGATTATCGGATCCTCCTCCTTCGCCCTCCTCTGCGTCTCAAATAAGTGCACTCTCCTTTTAACATCCCCACTGTCCAAGTCCTGCATATTCAGGAGACAGGAGAAATACGGACTCATTGAGGTTATTCAGAACCTTCAGTCAGCCGACAACTTTCCAATTATTGAAGCCTATTTACAAAACTGGGAAAACATATTCCAAACGGGCAAAACTATTTTAAAATAATGGAAGCTACCAACTTAAGAACAAAAAAAGGCTGGTTTAACCAAAGAGAAGACACTTCAGCATGTAAGGATCATCACACTAACGAGAGAACATGCAGAAAACCCCTACCATCAACACGGCATTGGAATTGGCAATCACATCCTTGGGCTCTGAGTCGATAGCATTTATACAAGAGCCAATAGTGCCACAAGACCACGGTGAATAGTGAGAGAGATGGTCTTCCTCAAATTTAGTTCCACTCAAATCACTGACACTCTCTGAGAACTACAGAAAAGGGAATAAATGAGCAGTGAATAACAGAAACAGGGAATTCAGTTTTAAAATGAGAAGAGACATTTACTGCTATTTAATTAAATTATCTCAAAAGTCAACCAAGGAGTTCCAGCCATATTCAAGACTTGATTTGGGGACAATACAAGCTGTTTTGTCAAATTTTAAACCAGTGTCCCTGGCAGCTGTCGGAGGGCAAGCTTTGCCTCACAAATAACTGCCTGGTCTGCCGGGATGACTGAAATCAGTGCCACTGTGTTAGTGGCAGGTTTCTTTAGGCAAATACCCACAGTAATTTAATTAAGAGGAAGCCACGCATTTTCCTTTAATGTATTAGCAACTGGCAGATAGAAATATGACTGGGAACCCTCCAACCTGAATGAAAAGGACCAAACCCTGATCCATCTTGAATGCACCCACAAGGGACTTCAGGTACACCTACCTTACACGACATTTTCTGTATAATCAGTCCTAATACCTCCAATATCATCAATGACACTGGCAAACCACAGCTAAGACTGCTTGGCACTGTGGTTCTCAAACTAGTTTCTTGGGTGTATCTAATTTACACAGATAGAAAAAACCATCACAAGTTTCCTTTTCTTCCTTCAAAAGCACACTTGCTATTTCTTGAGTTCCCATTCCTCTTTTCAGGAGTTATCTCACAAGTACACAATGTTCTACCAATGCCTTTTGCCACTTGTAAGGGATATGCATTTTCTGGGACTTGACAAGCACTTGCAGCTTGACTCAGGCTACTCAGAAAGTCACAAAGCCATTTGGAGTATGAAAAGGAATGTTTTTTTTAATGGAAAGCAACTGTTGTTCCCTACACAAAAACCTGGAGGTTCACAAAGCTAGTTCAGTAAAATTACATTTCCTTTAGTGAGGCTGAATTGAGTCACTTCTTGACCTTTTGACTGCAATCATGTTGAGCATCACCTTAATATGAAACTGAATGCATCATTATTAGATATTAACTTTCCTTTTGCTACAAGATCAATTTCATTTTATGAACAGAGAGCAGGTAGAAAATCTTCACTAGAAATATTATATGGCATCTCTCAGAAAGAGGAAGGGAAAATAAAGAAGTTCTCTGGCTTCCCACCTCTGTGCTGAAATCTACACTGAAGAGAGGAGAAGGTGGTGTTGGAGATGGTGTTGCCATGGGAAGGGTTGACGATACCAGAGGAGTTTTCTGTGTGTGGTACTGTGCCCACTGCTCCGGCTTCCGCCTCAGCTGCTCATCATAACCAGTCTTCAAGTGACCACAAGGCTCCTGGCAAGAACAAACACAGGACTGTATGTCCTACCACACTCTAAGGAGAAGACAAACACTTGCAAGGGACACACCTGGACCCCCAGATTTCCTTGGGTCTGTAACCCTCCACTGGTATCACCTAATTTCACAAGAATCGGTAGGAGAGCCCAGCCCACGTGTGGCAACTCAAACCTTCAATGTGCAATTAATTCAGGCAACATGCATGGAAATTAAAGAGGCAGAGGGGCTCTGGTCCTAATGCAGATCAGAGTGGTCTGTTTTACATGCCCATTTTATTAAGGTTAAAGAAAAAACAAAACAAGAACTTTGTCCAGGTCACATGTCTTGATCTCTGTAACCCCAAACAAACGGGTCTACGCTAATTATTCACCAACTTCTCAGTAATGACCTTCAGAACCCTTCCTTCCTGGCTCTCACTTACCCTTGGTAAAGGCACAGTCCTCTGCTCGTTTGGAGGTTGACAAGCCACAGAGTAATACCCATCCAGAGAGTTGTACCTCTCCCGTAACGATGTCTGATAGACAGACGAGTGCATCACATCCATGGGAGGTAAGGAATTGCTCCTAATAATATCATCTCGGGGGTACATCTGCGGGCGCCAGATGCGCCTGCTGTCATAAACTGGAGCGTACATTCCAGAGGGGACGGGAGGAACTGGTCCATACGGCTGCGGAGGAGGAGGTTGGTAAGGAGAATTCAGTCGGTCTCGAGGGGGAAATGTACTGTAATGATCGGCATATGGCACGGAAGCAGGTGGGAGGGAGGACTCTGGAACATTATTGGACCTCACAAAGCGAGGAACACAAGGAGCCACACCAGCTGGTACTGTTGGAGGTGGTGGATAATACCCTTAAAAATTGGAAAAAGGCATATTTAATGCAACCACGAACAACCCAAAATTCTACACCTTCTAAAACTGTAAACAGTGTTGAAAAGCACCTTTAGAGAATGAGGAGTCGCACTTTGCAAACCTGTTACTGACCCTGCCACGTTTCTGTGAAACACAGTTTCATGTATGACAACCACATTTGCAGATGCCCCTTCACCACCTGGACCCAGTTTGGAAGGTGGAGTTTATCTGTCATTATATATTATGGTATAACTATGTCACTGAAAAGACAGGATCTTAAACACCTCTTATATAGGGAGTTAAAATAGTCCTCTCTAAAATAAAAAGCTATATTGCTAAAAAAAACTAATTCCAAATGTCTGTAAATAACCATTTCACACTTGACTGTCTTCTTCCTTTTGAGAGGACTGAACATCTCTGCCTTTTGAGAGCTTGCTTGAATACAAACGTGCACACTGCAATCTAAAAAGATAACTGGAACCCTTCAAAGACATTTGAGCAAGCACAAAGTAGAAGCAATCTATGCCTCTGGCTTTGAATCCTGCCTGTGGATACCCCCATGGATAGACCATGAGGTGAGCAGATCTAAATAAAAGCAATTAAACACTAACAAAGGAAAAAGCAGATGAAACACCCTGAGATTCAAGTGGTTCTGGATGCTGAGGTGCAAGCTGCATAACATACAGCACATAAGCAACATTGGGGGCAAACTGCAGGTCCCTCACATACCCAGCAACGAACAAGATTAGCATTCCATTAAGTGAAGATTCAGATATTTAATAAACTAAACTAAAATGAAAAATAAATTGACAAAATCAAGATAAAAGTTATTTCTGGGCATTCAGGCTTTTCCACAGAAAAATTCAGAGCTATTTTTGACTCAGTGCTCATCTCACTCACCTGTCTGTGGGTACTGTGGAACTTCATATGACAGCTGAGTCCTGGGATCTTGGAAATATTGAACGTTATCAGAATGCGGAGGGTAGACGGGAACTCTGGGAACAAACGGGCTGGATTTTGGAGGCACAGAATTCACTTCTGTTCCGATATTGGGAGGACCAGCTGAGGTAGCTGCTGCCTGGCTGACAGGAGTCTTGGGCGGAGAACCGATTTTGCTGGAAAGGATTACCAAGGAATCATTAAGCAGATCTTCACTTATTTCTGTCAGCCATCTCCTCGTGCACACTCCCATGCAACACGGAAATTTGGGCCTTGCCACTTCCTCTGGAAATTTGTTCTTCATACCCCAAACTGATGGTACATCTTAGACTTTCCCCTAAGAAAAACTCAGGGGTGGATATAAATATTTGGGTGTGTCCCCAGAAGTTTACATACCCTTTCTAAGAGTATTCTGGTAAAGACAAAGGCTTTGAAAAGCTGTTTAGAGACTCAGTGCTTCCTGCAGAAGTATCTGAGAAGTTTGAAGTGAAACCTCCAAAACTAGAAGGTTTCCAGGAACACAGTGCACCCTTCTTGGTGCCAGGAAATGGACACAGTTTTACATGTTTTCTTTGTATGCAATAACCCAGTCGTAACTAAAGATACCATGCTGAGAACAACTGAGTAAGAGGTAAAGGGAGAGATTTGCCACTCTGTCCATATTGCACAGGAGTACTCAACAGCTGCAACAACTGCTGCTGGCTGTGACCACCTGAACCCACAGAACATCTGCACTGCAGTGCAGGATCTTACACAACTCTGCAGCCAGGGAGCACCAGCAAGGACTGCAAGCCAGGACCAGATTCAGAATCTGCTGTTCGCCACCCACAAACTCCAAGATAATCTAAAAGCAAAGTGTTGTGTTTAATTAACTTGATGAAAAAAAAGTCACCTACTTTTCAGGGAGCGACTCTGTAGGGGACCCAGAAGCATTTTGGCCATTGGCTCCAGTCTTCCCTCCCTTCTTGGTGTTCTCCAGAGCTCTCAGGGAGGTGTCTGCACAGCGAGGGATCAGTTGGGGAACCCCACTTTCCAGATTAGCTATTCCATTGGTACTTGGCACCATCTTCCCTGTTGCTTCTGGGCTTCCTATGACAGAGATGACGTTCCCCGTCGTGGTTGAGACGGTGCTATTGACGCCAACTTTGTTGAGAAGGGGGAATGTTCTCACTGTTGCACTGATTTTTTTGTTCCTCAAGCGGTATCTGTGAACAAACACGTGTGCAAACACACAGAAGAAATGATTCAAAGTGCTCATTGTGAACTGAAACATATTTGTAAAACTAGCTAAAGGAAGGGACTGAGCAGAAAATGATACAAAAAATGTACAAACTTATTTTCAACAATTGTAACCCCAAATCATCTCTCCCCTCAGGAGATCCATTCTTCAATTCTTTGAAAATGCATTTGGGTGAAGACAGCTCTAAGAATGCAGATGTTGCATACTGTTCAATAACTCAGTTCATGTCTTCATCAATTAAAATATAATTAGCACTCTCTCGTAGGTGATATAACCAATTCATGAGAGACACTCAGCCTAGACTCAATTTCAGGAAAGTAAATTTTATTTCATATGGGGTAAAATAAAAAATGAAACTAGGATTAGTTTCTAGTCTCAATTTCATACAAAGAATTGTCATGTTAGGAATTCACAAATCCTTCCAAATGAATGAATGTACAGAAGAGACTGTTTTCAAATTCTATGGAGATTGCTTGGATTGAAATTTAAAAAAAAGGAAAAAGTCTCTCACACTCACTTTTCAAGCTCTTCCTGAGAATGAGCAAATGTACAGTTTGTTCCTCTTGGACACCCCCCTTGCTGTCGAAGGTCTCGGCACATACTCGTTTTGTATTTGCTATTTGGTTGTGGCTTTAAAGAAAAAAACAAACCATCCTCTTACAGTCTATCAGACATTCACATAAAAGTAGTCTTAAAGTACAGAAAATGTATCTCACTACAGCCAGCTCTGCTGCATTCCATAGTCACAAATGCTAGGTTCTCAAAATCCCAATGCAGTAAATAACAGTACCATCAATTATCCCACAGAAAAGATCATAATGCAACAGTAATTTTTTAAAAGTTGCATCTTTCAGTAAATGTACTTTAAGACTTACAACGCAATGATCAAATACAGTTACCTGTGGAGTTTCATGGCCTTTTCTGCTGTAATTCTGAATGAAATCCACCAGCCCATGGACCACAGTCTTTACAGCGACCATTGCATTTTCCAGCTGCTCCCACGTTGGAGAGGCTGCATCTGAAATTATTAAAAGCAGGGTTCTGACTCTGCCAATAATTCCAGTAGTATCACAAATAAGAGGCAACTCTCCTAGGGCTTCACAACACCAAGTGCTAGGACAGAACTCAGAGAGCCCTGAACAAGAGTTTATTATGGTAATTAATGGGAGTTTTGAAACGAGGAATGGAGGCTACCATCTTAATACTTTATTCTGCTAGATAATGAAAAATACCACAAGAAGAGTTTAAAAAGCTCGATTTGCATACCTGGATTTGGATCTATGTTTGCCAGGAGCTCTAAATGAGGCCTCAGCCTGTTTAAGTTTGCAGGATCCCCCGTGCGCTGCAAGACAATTGTCAATTCTTGTACACTCTTTGCAAAAGATTCTGGAGATTGGAGCTGAAAATAAAGGGAGCATTAGTGTGCTGCATCTTACAGCTGTGAGCTGCTAATCTTAAAAGAGATTCATGACTCTGTTTCCTAACTGCAATATATAGTGTCTTCAGATGGCATATAGAGAGGATCAGTGGAGAGAAATGTTATTTCTCAACTCAGAATCTGCCCTATGCAGCTTCATCATAAGACACCAAAAAGGGAATTAAAGCACTTCACAGGAGGAACATGCTACAGTAGGGAAAAAACCTTCATTTTTAATTAATATCTGACATGACTAAGGACAAAAAGCTAATTCAAGGAGTTGATTTTTATTATAACATTTAACAGTCAAATCTAATCCTACAAAGACACTAAAATCCTCCCTCTGACAAACCTTGTCAATAATGGACTGCATGTGTGATTTATGTGCCAAGTCTCCATAAAGAAGGGAAGACCATTGTTCTGGTGATATTCGAAGTCCTGCTTCCATGGCAATGTGAACGATCTGGGCATCGTGTTCCCTCCTCAGCGCCTCGTAACTCCGGAACTCCTCCTTCAGCTGCATCAGAGAAGAATCTTCATCCCTTTTAGTGACCTAATAAGCAGCAATAGTTAAAGATTCCTCCTTTAACAACTGACTTTTCACTCTACGCTATTTGAAGTGAATTCACAGAACATTTTACAGGTGGCAGACACCAGTCCTAGGCTGGGTTCTCTGGAGCTGCACCAGTTCCCAGTAACAAAGCCCAAATCCCAGTGTTTTACCTTAAAGCATGATGCTCTATACAGTAGCTGCACAACGTGACCAATGCTCGTTTTGGAGGCCTGAGGAAATCTTGGTTCCAGCCTCTGCACTACGAAAAGTACCAGAACTTTTCTTGAGAGTGCAGAGCCATCTTCCAGTGCCAGTAAGACAAGTTTCAGTGCCTCCTCTTGCATAGCTTCAGCACACAAAAAGGAGAAAGTTAAATACATTCCAGAAAATGGCAACACTATCATATATGAACAGATTAGCAGGAGTGTCTGAGTCATCTTGAACATAATCCCTTATTACTTTTTATTTCACTAATCATAAGAAAAAAAGCTTTGTAAACTTTTAAAGAGAGTTGATAGTTCAGACGAAGTATTTAGAAGCACTCCAAGCACAGCAACTTAGAGCTAAGACTAATTTTCAGTAATGAACACATCAGAAGTGCAGCTTTTATACTGTTCTCCACTGTGCAGTCTTGCAGCCTTTGCCACTTTGGACATCTCATCAGTGCTACACCATGAAACTGTATAAACTAAATATGCCATCATCAGTTACTGGAATCACGAGAGGACAACTTACAGTTTAAATAGAATTTACTAATATTTGTAGGAGTTTTTCCTTCCTCCTTTCCTCCTGACAGAAAACTGAAACCAGAGGTAATTACATCTTCAACAGAAGTAATTTCCAAAAAAATTTTTTCTTAAGGAAAGGTCCAGCTGAGTACAGTCTGCTGCAGATCTACAGGTACCTTACCTGGTCCTAGAAACTGGCACCCTCGTGCCCTGACAGCAGCCCAGAGATTGGCAGAAAGCTGCTGAGGATTTTGGTGCTGCAGGATGAGTTCTGTGACAGTTCTCTCCCCCAGGGACCGAGCTGCCCTCATGGCTCTGACCCGACCCTCCTCCTCCACCAGCTGACAGTTCACCAGTGTCACGAGTTTCCTCTGCATTGGACGGCTCAGGGCACTCTGGTTCAAGCTTGCAACACCTTCAGAGAAAGGGAGACAAGGCCAACCATTGCTTCTGATCAAACTCATCTCAGTAACACGAGCAAAAACGTCTAACAGTGGATGTCTTTCTCTAGGACTTGGATACGAGTACAGGCACCTTCCCTTCTCTTGGGCAACTCTTGTGTAATTCATTATCAAAAAGAATTTTAATTAAAATCTTAAACTGACATCAAAGCCACCCTTTGGGGAAAGTTCAGCTTTAGTACAAAGTTGGCCCCAAGGCAATATTATTAAATAAAATAGAATATTTTGTAAACTCAAAATAAAAAAACCACAAACAAGTGTCACAAGTGTGAATAAGCTTTCAAAATCAGAAGGGAAATTTTATTACAAAAATAAGAGGATTATCTCACTGACATTTACAATCAGTGCTGAAAACACAATGCTGTTAAAAGTAAGCTACATCAAAATTCCACTGTTAGGAGAGACTCACCTTTTCCTCCACTTAATGGCTTTAAGTAGAGTGCCAAATCCTCAACACATTTCTTTGCTACTTCATAATGTTTGTTCTCTCCTACATTACTCAACTTTACTGTCTGATGATCAGGTACCTAAAAAATATGCAAGGGGGAGGAGGGGGAGAAGAATTACATCTATTACAGGGATGTGCCTCTGACATCCCAGTTAATTACATAACACTGCAGGTGTGCACTGCCCACAGCGGGGACACAGCTCCCACCCTGGGCACAGGCCGTGTCAGGAGGAGCAACTCCAAACCCCCAGCACGAGGACTGAGGGGTGAAAGACGGGTTTTGTTAGCACTCAACACGGTAAAAACGGAAAGAGGACAGAAAACAATAAGGGCTAACGAAAGGGCACTCCAAAAATGAACAACACAAGGTCTGAGAGGATGATCAGTGAGCATGATTTACTACAGACACACCAGGGAAGTCACAAGACAAAAATCAACTGGCGTGAAAATAATAAAGCGAGGTTAAAAAACATTTTAAGCATCATTGGGGCACGCTGAAATCTTCTGAGAGAAGAACCAGGAAACCTAACCTGGTGGAAAAACTCAAACTAGAGTAACAAGGTCAGATAAGGAAAACAGAGGGTGTATTAGTCAGAATACATTAATTGCTTGGAAGGCATTGCAAGAAGTTAGGAGACCAAGAAAATAAATATTGTAAGATCAGGGTAGTGATCTGACACAAAAAAAATGAAAGGAACATTGAACCTGAGAAACAAAACCACTCTGACACAGTGTTATTACCAACAGCTGTGTCAAGGCATATGATAGGACGTTAAAAAGCATCTTCTTACTGCATCACCGAGGTGCTGGAGTGAGAGCAACATGCAAAAGCACATGAATCAGCACAAGGGGAACAGACTTATTTAGTCTCCCTAAAGCGCAGTACTGATTATATAATCACTGTTTTGCCACTGCTACGAGACAGCACAGGGAACATTCCTGGCCTGATTAGCCAGTGTCTGCAAACGCCACTGAAAAGCCATCATCAGGCATATTTAAAAAAAAAATGACACACACACTGCTGGAACCTGGTTAAACAGCCACTTTGCAACATGTGACATATAGAAAGGAGATTTCTTGGAGGACTACGATGACTGAGTGCAATCTGCAGGTTCACTCTTCTAATGGCAACTGGGACACAAAACTGTCTGTTTCCCAACGGGGATTTTTCTCCAGCCACAGTTCAAGAGCCCTTTTAAATCAGGATTCAGGTTACAACTAGAACCTGTTTTCGTTTTATGAGAAGCTTGTCCTGAAAACGGTGTGGTTGCTTTTAGAGCACGTATGGCCTTCTAAATATTGCAAAGTTACATCTTACCAATTTTGGGGCTAAAACGAGAGGGAACAGATGACAGACAACATGTATTGCAAGTGGCACGTGAATGGTAACAACACAAAGTGGCAACACAGAGAGGGTTTAACCCCTACCTGGGCTCCAACCAGCTGGAGGAGTGCAAAGTTGACAGGAAGCACGTCGATGTCGGTGTTGATGGCGGTCTGGTCGAAAGGACATGCCTTGCGATGGAGCTTGTTCAGGCAGGTCTTACACACGGTGTGAGAGCAGCCTAAGCTGATGGGTTTGTGCACATTCTCATCAAACTCGTTGTAGCAGATTGGGCAGGACAGAAATTCTGTCCACTGAGCTGCCTGCACAGGCATTGTGGAAGCTGGACACTTTTTTAGCAGGCTAGCAGACCATTATTTCACTGTACTATGTTTTGGCAGCTGTAAGTGAATAACAGAGTATTTAAAACATGCTTTCTGGCAATTAAGAATGATTTTTAATTAAAATAAATAGCCCATAATTTCAATATTACACAAAATAAAATCAATTCCTTATGCTGAAGTACTCATAAACCCCATCTCTATTAGTTTAACTATTGTACCAAAAAAGGCTCATGAACTAAATTAATGCAGACTACCACAAATTGAACCTATTCACAATAAATGGCATTAAAGTTTGGTTGGTTTTTTTTTTTTTGGTGGAGTTAAAGTCTTATTTTCATTTGAAGTAGAAAAACATCTTCCTTCTGCAGATCTTATCCAGACTTAATCAGACATCAAACTAAAACCACCTTTGCTTTTTTTAAAACACATGTTCTCTTTCTGCAACAGACCAATAAATTAAGAATCATAAGGAAACACTAAAGGAACGAGAGATTAATTTTTATTTTTTTGATCCTCCTGTGTTACTTTCCCCTCTTCTCTCAAGAAGCCATTGGAATCCTCAAGGGCAGGGACTGCTGTACTCAATCTTGCTTTTCACATCCCTACCTTACACACAACTTCATGGGCATGAACTGGCAGTGAGAAAATCTTTGATGTGTGGAAAACCCAGGGACTTAGGGCAAAATCAAGGTAAGTTGTGCAAGGCAAGCAGTACCTTCAGTTGGCTTGCTATTAAGTCTCTTGAAAAATCTCCAAGGAAATTCTTTCTTGTATTTCAAAGAAGATATGGATTTACAGAGACTGTTCTGAGCCATGCCATCTTATACAGCTCATGTTCTTGGAAAAGGTGCCAGGCCTAAGGAGTTCATCAAAACCCAGAGCTCCACCTCGGTGTGGCACAGCCCCACCCTGGGCCACGATGTGCCACCGTGGTGACTCTCTGGGCAACCCACAGACCAGTCAGGTCACTTCGAGGCTAGGAACAAGCTTGTCCCAGCAGCTTGTTACTAATGCAAATAGAGAAACGTTTTAATTATGTGTTCAGCATTCTATTTGTTTTTTCTCTGATGACAGAAAAAAGGTAATTGTTCTGAGGAAGCCAAGATCTCCCCTCTGTGTTTGAATTCGGGAATTCCTTATTGCAATTCCATTGTTGGCTGTGCTGCGGTTTAATTAATGCTGAAGTATCAGACCATTGAAATAATTACTAGAACACTAAATAGACTCTTATCTGTGGATGTATTTTATGTTAATTATGACCATCTGTTTAGAAATCCTATTTAGTACTATGAACATTCAGTGCCCTTTAAGTAACAGGATCCTTGTACAAGATGTCCTTATCTCAGCGAGCTTTTCGATATTATGCAGCGATTTTCCCCCCAGATGAATTCCCATAGTAAGTGTAAAACACACCAAACTGAAAGTTGAACCTGTCCCTTCAAACTGCTGAGGTTAAACTTTCAACACAAGCCAGAATACTGACATGTATTGGACAAATCAGATTTTCACCCAGCTCCTAGGAAAGCACAACCAAAGCTCTTGCAGGGACGAACAAACACAGTCGTCTTTAACACGCTACTGCTACATATGTCCTTTAACCAAGGAAATTCAAAAGCAAAACAAGTAAAAGCAAAACCAAAGAGTGAGCCAACATGCCTAGTAAGATTTTGATTCCTCTATAAAGAATCCCACCATTTCCTTTAGCACATCTGCTGCCCGACCCAAACAGCAAGGCTAGAGATGGGCTGAGCTGCAGAAAACACTTCGCTCAAAGCTCTTTGCAGGGGTACCACAAACATTAAGATGCCAACAGTGCTGCTGACCTAGGACTGATGTTGCTGCTTCTTCGCCCATCTGACTGCAGGACACAGGTAACAGCACAAACCAGAGCACTCTGGGAAGTGTGGGACTGTCATGACTCACACGGGGAAAAGTTTAGGAAGAGGCTGGCACAGGGAGAGCTCATCTGCTGGTATGTCACTAACGAGCTGCTAATAAACAGGCTCTATGTCCACACTGCTCATTAATTATCTCAAACACAGGGATCTGTGCTCTCTGACAGTACCCACGCTCAGTTTCCACAGGTACTTCAGAGACTTGCAAGAAATCAAGTCTCTGTTTACAAGCATTTAGAATACAGTTGTTTTCCTGACCAGCATAGAAATGAACACAACAGATCCTCAAAATGTGCACCACCGGGTTTTAAAGACCTATCTCTGGGTGTTTAATCATCCCAAATGACAGATTCTACTAAGCATCTGTTGACCTTCAGATTTCTTGACAGGAAAAAAAATCTAATTATATCAGCAAACAGCTGGGAAAAGGCTCTTGACTCCCCAAACTTCAAGCAGCCATAGAGGGAGGAATCTCCATACTCTGTTGAGCTGCCAGCTCTCCTGCCATTCTCGCCCCCCAGCGTGTCAGGAAAACAATCTCACATCTCCTAATTACTATGTCAACTTCTGCAAAAAGCATAAGCCAAATGTTTAATAGATTCTTGCTCCTTGTCAGAAACAATGTATTTCAGGGCTGTCCTCTCGAAGAACAAATTGCTCCAGCGCTCTAAACTAAGCAAACACAAGGAGAGCAAGGAGGTAAACCAGAAACCCCGTGGATTTTGTTTTTAACAGGCAGTACACTCTGTTAGAACAATTAACCTTGGTCTGCTCACTCTGGCAGACGTGCTCTCTATCTCTACACACACACAGGGCTTCTCTTCCCTGTCAGAGTTGAAGCACCCTGCAAAAAATATCCCAAAGAAGTGGCTGATACAGAAACTGGTCAAACACACAAGGCAAACAGTCTGAAAAGACATGGCAGTTGCTACTTCAAAGATCATTACACAGTGAAGTTACTGGAAGTTTTACAGTATTAGTATCAGAAGCAAAGCTTCAGATGACAAACTGAGAAAGGGACAAGCCGAAGTTCAGACATTATGTAATGGTAAAAAGCAGCACAACTGAGTAATTTTGTGTTTCTAATACAGCAGTATTTTCCCATTGCAGAAATGGGTGCAATGGAGTGGAGTAACCATGATTTTCTCATTTTAGAACAGAATATGTGATGAAATTGGAAGGTGGGGTGGAAGGGAAGATAGGTGAAACCTCAAAACCTTCCTCAAAAGCTGCACCATTTATAGATGATGGAAGTTGTAAGATTACTTTACAATAACTTTCAGTTACCTAATCCCAAGGCATTCTCTACAACTAATCTAAGTCACTGTGCTTACTCAACCCCCTTTGGACACGATGAACATCACTTAATTCTGATTTCCTGAAGATCCCAAGCTTAGGTGATCGGGGTGTTCTGTCAGTCTGTTCCTCTCCCACACTGCTCAGTCAGGGCCTTTGCCAAAATGAGTTCCATGCCCTGTCAGAGGAAGGGCTGGAGGCCAAACCCCTTCCCCACAGCTCTGCTCTGCTCAGGGCCCCCTGGACCACGGCAAAGGGAACGGGAATAAGCAGAGCTTGGCTACAAATGAGACACGGAATAACCCTGTCAGTGCTGGGCAAAGGGAAGTCTTCTCTACGGATGAGGGAAGATCTTGGAAAACTTGTGAAATTATACGGTATTTTCACAAACAAGGTTCAATTGCAATCTCACTGCAGATTTAAGCCTAGATCTTAGAATTCAATTGATTTTTAATCACTAAAGAGTCCTTGATATTGGCTTGCTCTTAATGCTAGAGATCACAGTATTTCCTTTTCTTTTTTAAAGTGATCTCCATAACAATTTTTCATTTATGCAGATTAATGGTCTGTTTGCACTACAAGGAGGTGGCTTTTTCAAGCTTTCCTTTCTAAGTTTTGGTATTTCTGAAAGCATTCTGACTGGATCAAAAACTTAAATGTCCATGTAATCAAATTATCACTATGAAATTATTGGCTGGAAGGGCTAGAATCTTTTATTAATTTCTCTTCAACAGCCATCATCTATAGATCTAAAAAGTAGCTTCATTAAAGGCCTAAGAAAGGGCCATCCCCGTAACAGCTTTGCATCATTCAGCTATGATGGCCCGAAATTAAAATAAATCCTCTTTAAAGAGCAGACTTGCTTATTTCCACACTCCATAATATCTGTCACATGTAAATCTCCTTGTATCACGTGCAAATTCTATATATAATGTCTTTAATGACCATTAAACACAGTATTCCAATGCCATGTTTTCACTGAACATTAATGCTCCTGGGAGTATCCACAGCCTATCCAAATCCCAGGGAAGTTACCAAGAGGAATCTTGGAGATATGCTATAATTACAGAGTATCTCAGCTTGGAAGGGACACATGAGGATCATCAGGTCTAACTCTGCTTCTCTCAGGAGCACCTGACACTGGAACCACAGGACCAAGAGCATCGTCCAGATGCTCCTGGAGCTCTGGCAGCCCTGGGGCCGTGCCCACTGCCCTGGGGAGCCTGGGCAGTGCCACCCACCCTCTGGGGGAAGAACCTTTTGCTGATGTCCAACCTGAACTTCCCTGATAGAGCTTCATTCCCGCTCCTTGTGTCCTACATACATAGCTGAATATCTACACGTGTCCAGACCACGTTTTGCCAAAATGCCTATGGGATGCTTCACTTGCTACCTGCATAAAAACTCTGAGCTTTGATGCCCTGGGTCTGCTTAAAAGCTGTGGCTAAAGAGCAATGCCTGTGACCAGGGTACAGTTCACTGATATGAATTCAAGCTCGTGGCTGCCTGTGCCTGCCAAATTCACCCAGTTCAGAGGTAACTCCCCCCAAACCAAGCCCAGGGTCAGTGCATCCTCAGCAGTTCCCACCTGCTCCTCCCTGCTCGAGGGCTGCCACCACAAATTCTGTTACTGGACTTTAAAAGTTTCCTCAATACTTATGCAATGCCACTGTGGGTTTTTCCTTGGGTGTTGTAGATGTCACTGACAGGGGAGTCTGTCCTTGCCACCAGCCCGACACCAATTCAGCTCTTGTATCACTATTGACTTTTCAGGACTACCTGAAGGGCAAATAAATGAAAAGTTTTCTTTGCCACCAAAATCAGCTGAACTCCCTCTGATTGCAGAGAAAGAGAATCTATTTCTAAGCAGATCTATTTTGACACAGTTTCTTCACGAAGGGATACGCTGCACAATTCCTGACTCTCCAGTCATATTTTCACAGAGTAAGGACCCCCATGTACGGTTCAGTTTCCCAAGCTTTTTGTTTTTTAAAAATGTGACCTCCATCTTTAACCTATATATTTTACAGAGAGAAATTCTGTATTCTAACATTTTTCAGTAACTGTAATGAAATGTTTATTCTGTTCTGAGATTTAGGCAAGAAAACACAGGGTTCCACAGGAGCTGGAAAGCCTTTTGAAAAGTTGCACAGAATGGCTTGATATGCCCATGGATGGAATATTTTAACTTTCCTTGGCGTTGTCCAGTCAGCAAGGAGATCCCTTCCATTTATCCCAGTAAAGGTTTACAAAATATTACCACATGAAATATGTAACGCTACTAACAAATGCTACTCTTACCCTCTGGATATTTTAAGTATCTTATCTGTTGTAAATCAACAAAGCCTTAAGCAAATGAGATCAACACCCAAGACCAGGAGTTTACTTGGGGATATCTCATGCACCAACATTACAATCTGTTAGAATTGGGTATTTTTGAGAGAAATGGCCACAACCTCATACAAGACAAGCAACACGATTTAATAAGAAACCTTTTCTTGGGGAAGGTTACAGGAATTACAGTTAACCCAAACAACATGCTAAGTTTGCACGGAAGTGAACCAGGCCTGGATCAGAAATTGTCCTGACTGCCTGCCTAAACTTTGTCATTATTTTCTCCCATTCCAGCTCCACGCCATTCCCCTCCGAACCCTGAGCTGAGCACTCATCACTCTCCCACCACTCTCCGCCCTTGCTGTGCTTTGTGCTGACTTCTGCACTGAACCGGACACCTCGAGCATCAGCACAGCCGGCACACGCTTCTCCTGCTCAGCTGTTTGGTTTTTTTAAAACACTTCAAACGTGACTCGGTGCCTGCAGCCCTCGGGCCTGTGCTCCCCTACGATGCCCTCCCCCGTTACCCCAGAGCACGGCTCCATGGTGTTCCACCGGGAACACCGCGGGCACGGCTCGGCTCCCCCCGTGCCAGGGCAGCTCAGCGCGGGCCGCGGGGGCTGCGGCCGTCGAGGGGTGCGGGGAGGCACCGGGAGCTGCCCCCGCGCCCGCCGGTGCCGCGAGTGCTCCCGCAGCGCCGGTGCCCCCGCAGGCCGCAGCCGGCAGCGCCTGGCCCCGCTCCCGGCCCCGCTCCCGCACCGGGCCGGGCCCCGCCGTCATTTCGGGGCCGCCACCAAATGGCTGCCGGTGTCCCCGGGCCGGCCCCGCGGCCTGCCGAGCCCCGCCGCCCGCCGACACCCCGCGCGCCCCGCGGGCCGGGCCGGGCCGCGCTCCCGCAGCGCCGGGAGGAGGCGGGGGCAGCACCGGCAGCGCGGCGGGCGGGGGCGCGGGCGGGGCCCCGGCGGGTCAGCGCGTCCCCCGCGGCGGCCGCCGCCGCCCAGCCCAGCGCAGCGCAGCCCAGCCCAGCCCGCCGCCCGTGCCGTCCGTACCTGCTCGGCGGGGCGGGCGCGGGGCCGGGCGCGGCAGCGGAGCGGGGCCGGGGTCGGGGCCGGGCGGGGCCGCCTCAGGCGCCATGGGGGCAGCGGCGCGAGCCCCGGCGGCGCCGCCTCATCGCTGACAGCGCCGCGCGCCACGCCCCGCGCGCCGCTCTCGCGAGAGCCCGCGCGCCGCACGTGACCGCGCCCCGCCGGGGAGGGACGGGGCGTTACCACAGAGACGGCGGCGCAGACCAGCCCCGTGACGGACGGCGGCGGCCATAGAGAGGGCGCGGCCAGAGCGCCGCCCGGCGCCGCCAGCGCCCCCTGGCGGCGCGCCTTGCTCGGTGTCGCCTCAGCCGCCCCGCGGCCGCCAGTGCCGGTTGTTTGTCGTGCTTTTTAATTTTTAATTAATAACGTTGCTATCGCTGGCGCTCAGGAGGATGAGAGGAGTGCAGGTGGGCTCTGGCGCACGTCGTTTGTCCCTGCCGAGGAGGCGGGGGCCGGTGAGGGCGGCGGGCCCAGGGCCAGAGCCGTGTGGGGAGCACGGGGGACGAAGCTCCGGCCCCATCCCGGCACCCCCGGAGCAACCGGGATGCACCTTCCTCCTCTGGGCGCTCAGAAATCAAGTTTCTTACCCAAAGCGACAGTGCAGGGCTGCCATTCCAGAGGGGGAAGAGTTCATGGCACAAGTGGGTCACACAGACCCCTCTGAAGGGCAGAGAAAGGCGTTACTAAATGACTGCCCCTGAACACCGTGTTTCCCTCACATATTGTTTACTCACCATTGCTAAGCCCAAACACTAAGTATTAAGGTATGCACAGGATTGCTAAGCGGGATCAGAAGAAAGGAGATGTATTTCTGAAACAATGCCTTGTTTGCATTTCGTTTATTGCGTTATGACAGGACGTGTTACATGTACAGACAGGGGAGAGGGAACACCTTAAATGTGAACATGTGCACAAGACCAGGGTTTGTTCACAAAGGTCACTGAGACACTGCAGCCACTGAACAGAGCATGCTGGTGGCCTGTCACACAACACAACTCCCTCCCATGTTTGCATGCACGACCAAAATAACTTGCAGTCTGCTCCCACAGAAGATGCACCTCAAAAGATCAGCCTTTGGCACACAGGGCAGTGCCCATGAGGGGAATACCCACAGGAACACCTGACCATGCCTGTAAGAGGCAGTAACACAGCATGGCAGACACTGGACACACCCAGTCCCTCATGCAGCTGATCAGTGAAACCCCAGACAGTGGCTGGTGCACTCACAGACACAGGGGAGCAAAGTGAAACCTGTGAACTGACATTAAAAACTACTGTCTTGGATTTTAGAACCAGCCAGATTCTGAAGCACTCGGGCCAGGCTTCTGCACTCGGAGCAAGACCTTGTAACAGCACTTCTGAAACCTGAAGGAAAGTGTGATACAGACAGGAGTAAGAACTACTGCTTTTTGCTAACTGTAAGTAGTAATAGCTCATATTAACAACTGAATTAACTCTTTATTCATATCACATTAAGTGGAAGAAACAGGTACCAGTCAAAGACACGTTCAGGATACAGACTCTGCATCGCAGGGCTCTCGATGATCATAATGAAACCAAAATGAGCTTTGACAAAGCACAAACACACCTATGCAAACACATCCTTACTGTGTTACCGCGTCACAGATCAGAGTATGAGACCCCTATGTCTAAGCCGTTGCTAATTTTCAAAATGAATGTTAAAACCGTGGTTACCCAAGAGCACACAGCTGAGTTTCACACGAGTGTATGTATCTAACATCTGTAAAAAATGAGGGCAAACATTACAACTCAATGAACAGGACTAAACTTAATTGAAATTACTCAAATACAGCTGCAAAACACTGCTATGACAGAAAGAAACCACTATTAGAAGGAAGTTTATAAAAATTCAGAACTTAAACTAAAAGCAAGTCCTTCTCGTGGGACTATCCAGTTACAAATGAACTGTTTGGTTACTTCTCTTTTACCAATTCTCTATTTGCAAGAGGCGATTTGAAAGCTTCCTTGTAAGGAAGTTTTTGTTCTGTGTCCTTTCTTAAACATCACAGATTTGGGTATGAAAACACACCTTCTTTCTGTTGAAAGATCTAGCCAAGTTTGGGCAAGGAAGGAGATGACTTCACCATAAATGATCCATGAACTGGATGGGACTGAATAAACACAAACAGCTGTTTGTTTCCCTCAGCTGTTGTCACCAACACCATGGCTCAGGCTTCAGCTTATTGCAGTATCAGTAATAGTCTGAAAGTCAGAGGTGCCTGCCCTTGAAACCAGGAATGTAAACCATCACTGGGGGGGACCAGAACATGCTCAGAATAATAGGAGAGAAGCATGAAATAATTTCCCATCATTTGCAGTTTACTTTCAATTAGGAAACACCTTTTTTTTTTCTCACTGACAGCAACAGCAACCTTAAGTGAACAGCCACGTTTGCTGCTCCAAGGCCCGTCTTGGATCACCAGTCACCTGTTTGTGCTTCTCTCTGTTGCATGGGGATCTGGACCTGGAATTGCACCTAGAATTTCCCTAGCCAGGAGCTTTCTGTGGAGCCTGACTCCACAGCCACCCAGCTGTCAATCATAGTCTATTTTAACCTTTGTAATAGCGTTCAGGTTTGGTTTTTCGCCGCTGCTCCTCCCGTGAACAGAAGTCAAATGCTTTTTGAGAGCAGACTTGTGCTTGAAGTCCATGTCGCAGCAGTGGCACTTGTAGGGCCTGTCCCCGCTGTGGATGTTGAGGTGGTCCTGGAGTGTGCTCTTGGCAGTGAAAGTCTTGAGGCACACCATGCACTGGAAGGGCCGGATCCCCATGTGCCCCCGGATGTGTCTGTTGAGATTCTTCTTCTGCGTAAATGTTTTGCCGCACTGCAAACACAGGAAGAGTTTGTGCATTTTGAGATGTCTGAGATAGTTCTCGAGGTGCAGGAACCCCCTCGGACACTTGGGACACTGGTGCCTCCATGAGCTGCCAGAATCCTCCAGGCTCTGGAACCCATTCACCCCACTGGAAGTTCCTTCTGGGTTGTCACTGACAAAAGCCTGAAAGTGATTTCCTGACATTTCTGTATTTCTGCTTTCAACTGTAGAGTTTATCAAAGAGTGCTGGGTTTCTGGGAAATACAAATTTGTTTTAGAGGAAGTGCAAGGCTGAGGAAAATGATCATTTTCTACATTTGCTACACTCATGGAATCCATTCTGAAGATACAGATTTCGTCATCCTTATACCCGATTTCCACTGTGGATATTTCTGGGGATTTTGTGTCCTTCCTTTCCGACACCAAGCTCTGTGCCGCGGGCCGTGGGCCATCCCCCTCCTCCTGCTTCACTGGGTATTCTTCATTCTCTGGGCTGTCTTCAGAGATCTCAATTATTTCACAGTCTTTATCTAAAGCCTCGTCCCCATTCCTCAGTTCAGCATCTGAGGAGTGGCACCCCTCTGCAGCCTGGGCACAGCTCTCCATGGAGGCATCGATCTCCAGGTACTTGGACAAGGCCTCGGTGCACTTCTCCACGATGTGAACCATCTGCAGGTAACTCGCGGCCGTCAGGTACTTCAGCAGCTCCTTCTTCTTGACTTCCAGCGCGCCCGTGTAGCAGGACAGCAGCAGCTTCCTGCCCACCTCTGCGCTCTGCAGGATGGTGATCCGCACCTGCCGGGACTGGTTGAGCAGGAACTGGTCCCGCATGAAGGTGGAGCAGGCGGCGAAGATCACCTTGTGCCCCTGGAACTCCGTGTCGTTGATGTAGATGGACACGTCGCAGAAGAGGTTCTGCTGCCGCAGGAGGTTCATCTTCTGCAGCACGGCATCGCCCTGCTGCTCGAACTGGAAGTGCAGCACCTCCGAGTCCGCCGCCATGGCGGGACCCGCGGCCGCCGCCGGAGCGACTCCCGGGGCGCTGCCCGGGCCCCGCGCCCGCTGCCCGGGGCTCAGGGCCCGCTGTCCCGGGCTCCGGGCCCGCTGTCCCGGGCTCCGGACCCGCTGTCCCGGGCTCCCAGCCCGCCCGCTCTCCCCGCTCCCGGCCGGTCCCCAGCCCTGCGCGCTGCCCCCGGTGCCGCAGCGCCCCGGAACCGCTTCCGCGCCCGCCCCTTCCGCCCGCCCGCCCCGCCCGCGCCGGGAAGGAGAGGCGGCGGCACACAGAGTTAGCAGCACGTTTATTAGAAGACTTGGCACTGCTACAGCGGCTGCCGCCGGGGGACACCGCACCGGCACCGGGAGAGGTAGCGACGCGTCGGCCCCCCTAAGGCATCCCGGGGGCGGCGGCCGGGGCTCCTCCTCGCCGCCAGCCGGGACGTGCCGGGAGGACGGAGAAACCGCCGCCCGGACGGGCTGCTGGCTGCTCCCCGCCTGCTTTGGTTATCACACGTAGTGTAAGACTTTTGCCCAGTCACTGAAGAGGTAGCTAATGCTCAGTCCATCGATTATACAATCTCAAAGGAAAAATGTCCTG